TCATTCACAGGGCCACGTCATTGACGTGGACCAATAAACCCTCAGCCATGAGAGGCTGGTTTCTTGTTAGGCTGGCTGGAAATTAGAAAATTGCAGTCGCCTACACCTTCCTTCCCTCCAGCTTCAAATTGATTTCCCCACTTTCTTCCTTGACCCCTTCCTTCTCCCTCCCCAGTTTTGTACTGGGCCTTTTGGTATGTGTGTGTGAAAACACACGTCATCTCTGTGATCTGTAATAATACTGCACCTTCAGCCATGTACGTGAAATATTTTGACTGACAGGTAGTTTAACTTTTATAGTTAATCTCTAATTTTAAGTGTCATCTTCTGTAGTTTTACTTAAGTTTCTGTTAATCTGCTGCTTTTAATGTTCAGCCAAATTGTTTACTTTTGGTGCGATGTGTATTTAAATTGCTGCTGCAGTTTTTGTTAAATCTTATTTGTGCTCCGAAACTTCAGCAACTCTTGTAGAAAGTATGGGAGCAGTCAGTGAATTGCTGTTCATCACTGTACTAATCTTGGTCAAACACATTATTTTTTTTAATTAAAAATACTCAACCAAGTATAAAACCCTTCTCCCCCTGTTCACTAGATTTCCTCAATATCTTGACAATTCCTCAATATCAATTTTTATCTGACAAACCTTTTTCTCTTGCCTCTTTGGAAATCCTTCTTTTAGGGTAACCTGTTCGTTTATCTGTTTGAAAGCATGACATCACTGGACAAGTTTGCTGCCACTACCTTTTAATATATATTTCTCAATATAATGCTCAGGACTGCTTCAGTCCTCTCAATCTTTGTTTGTAAGTGATGGAAGGTTCAGGGTTCACAAGGAATGTCCTTACAATTGGGATTCACTCTGCAGACTTGATGGAATTGAAGTTGAAATTCAGAAGTTATTTGCAGGTGTATTTCTGATAGATATTTAGAATTCTTTTAAAAATCTATGTTTGATTACATTGGTATTGTTTCCAATTTCTTGTCATTGATTTTGATCTGCATTGCACTCAACAACAATTTGCACTTATATAGCGCCTTTCACATATGGAGAAGATCTCAAAGTCACTTTTATGAAGACTGGGAACCTGGGCTGGGAGGGATCTGGGAGAAGAGGTAGAGAAGGCGCTTTAATCTAAATATTAATTAGATTAAAATATTTTACATCTTTTCAGCAAATACTGTAAAGTTAATAACTATTTTGTGGGTAAATGCGACAGCTGACCTGTGCAGCAATGTTCCACAAACAGCTATCAAATGAATCTGTAAAGCCGTAGAGGTTGCATTATAGGAAGGGAGATAATTGACACTAATCCTTCCACCGAGCAGGTTTGCAAGCTCCTTTCTTGCTTCCTGGATGCCTCTGCCAATTGTGACTGTAGTTCTCGATAAGCCTTGATAGTTTGAGTAAGAATTCAGTAACAATTGATACAGTGCCTTAGCAAGTCATTTGTCTCAAGGTATTTCAGAGTTTTCTGTAAAGTGCAGTGGCAGTTTTTGGGTGAATGCCGTAAGATAATTGCGTATAGCAGTGCCCCTTAAATAACCATATTCTGCCAGGGCTATAGGCAGAGCACAGTCCAGCATTGATTTAATCCTCCAATGTGTACTGCTGTAATCAGTGTCCAGCTGTACTGAGCACTCTGCTGTTTAGCTTGTTTCCTGCTGAGATGGGATGAATGTCGACTGAAGCATAGGGAAATGTCTTCTCTTCAAATAGTAACTTTACGATCATGCACAGTAGCCTGGGAAGACAAATCTCAATGTATGAATCTTGATGTCGAATGTTTCACTACTGGCTGGAAAATTTGCAATTTGGAAGATTTGCTGATAAGGTTGTAAAAGCAATATAACGTAGTTAATGAACATAAGCTGTGATGATTGCTGAGGGTTTGAGTGTGCAAATCTACATGTAGCTTGTGTGAGTCACAACGCTGTTACTTGGTCAAGGTGTTTAGTTAACGGAATCCATGAAAACCATCTTTGGAGCACTTGTCAATTAATAGTGACGATCATTCTACCATTTCCCTCATCTGAATGACGAGAGGGGATCTTGTGGAGTTGCTCAGTCTGTGACCATTCTACTCAACTCAAAGCATGGACAACATTTCAACCATCTGTTCATTACCGTATGGCATGTGTACATAAAGGTAATCCTTATGTTTAATATAGTGCCTCAGCAAGTCAATGTCTCAAGGCATTTCAGAGTTTTCTGCAAAGTGTAATGACTGTGGGTGAATACAGTAAGGCAATTTGCGTCTAGCAGCGTCCTTTTCTTATTTGGGGGATTGTTAGCCAGGATACCAGGAAACTCTTCTCTTTTGAAATAGTACCATATGATATTTAGAATCATGATGCAATGTTTTGAACCGACCATTAAGTTCTCACTTGGATATCAATCATTTATATCTTAAGTGAATCATATGACTTTTTACTTTCAAAGAGTAATTTTCCTGTTTTCCCAATGTTTTAACTTTTGACCTGTGCCATTGGAACCCTGTCTGCTAAATGAGAGATGGACTAAATGGCCGCCTCCTACTCTGTAAATTTCTGATTGTACCACCCATTCAGTCAGAGCTTCACCAGGTTACTTCTTGTCTCGTATGTCACCATATTGAATCAGTGCTGGGAAACACTTGCCAACTACAGCATTCCTGAGTTGGAGTGTTATGGATTCTCTCAGGAATTTCTAACTTCTGGGCTCGAGGGAGAAAGAATGAAAAGCATTCTCTCTGCAAAATGTCTGTGCAGTCCTTGCCCTGGGCTGTATTTGACACAAAAGTACCACAAAGTAGTATAATCATGTGTAACTTTGGCTGGACTGGATCGCACACTTTTCCTGGCGTGGTGGACCCTATTTACCTAATCCCGGTGAATTTTCAATGCAGGTTGTCAGTTGAAGCCAGCTCAGCTTACTACCTCCTTCCCCTCCTCTCTTTTTCTCTTCCTCTAGTTGATAGTCTTGAGTGCTCAGTGCGCACCAGGAATTCAACTTGGGGTATTCTCCTTTTATGTGGCTCAGTGCTTCTGGGTGCTAAGCAGATTTCGATGCCCAATAATCTGTAAATAAGGAAGAGTTTGCAGGAAGTGTCTAAGTTTGGATGAAATGTTGCTGTTGGACAGTTTGCTATACCTATATGTATTTAAAATTACACGTGGGTATGTTCTGTTATTTGCTTAAATTAGCCCGGCTGATAATTTTTCAGTTTTGTTAACCATGGTTTAATGTGAGCCAGAGGATTAGCCAGGCTGAGAGTTCCTCAGGGATAAATATCAGAATTTAATTCAGAGCAAAGAGAACGAAATTAGTGGAGGCCAAGCATCTGATTGTAGTGTGTGTTGATGTCTTCTCAGTGAGTGGAATGCCTGAGTAGGATCCTCATTGTCGCTTCGATAATTCTGCTGTGTTAGGAGAGAGGGAACTAAAAAGATCAGCCACAGCCAGAGTTTTGTTGTATACATACTCAACCGGTGACTAGCCCTTGAAATGCCTTCTTTACTGATGGCAATCTTTACTGGTTGAACTTATAAAAAAAAATTCCCCCACTTTTGCTACAGTCGAGTTGTAATTGTGATACACTTGGAGAATTGTGCCATTGTTTTATAAGTTTCAGGGAATGGGAACATATTAAGTGCTTGAACTGTACAGTGACCTTCCTTCATATTTAAAACTTTCCATTTAATCACTCCAAACGCTAGTCTAATCCACAATTTGTGACCCAGGAAGGAATAGTGAGAGAGAGAGAGTGTGCGGGTGTGTTGACATTTTTAAATCGTTTACACCAAAATTGACAAAGATGCTGTCAATTATACAGACCTGTTGACTTTGAGTGGCAGTACTGATGTACCAATATTGTAACTCTTCTTTGCAAAAAAAAAGGACCTGTAAAAAAAATTTAGACCACTTAGATTCAATGATAAACAGGACCACTAGCACTTGCAGAACTAGAACTGGCTTTCAGCATGAGTCAGCATTTGCTGAAGAGAGGGAACCAATTAAATCTTCCAGTGATGTCTAATGATAGTTACATTTGCCACTTTTGTATTTCCAGGTGAGCATTCATTAGCTCAAAGAGAAAGCTCGCCTTCATACACATTTCTCCAGCTAAATGTGTGCAAGTTGTCTTGTAATTTTCTACCTTTAAATTAGTTTTTCTGTCGCCCAATATTTTCTCCTGAAGATGGTGGATTGTGCGGAGGTAGTTTTGTTGTTTCCAGTAGGCTCTGTTACATCAATGTTTGTGTTTGACCTTGGAGACAGTGAGTGTTATCAGTTTAGTTTCCCAATCACATCACTTGCTTCCTGAGCACAAATATAGGTAATCATGAAAGATGTTAAAGTGAATGTTAAAACATAAAGTAATTGGAATGTGAAATTATTTGACATAAACTGATGTTGACCCAGAGGCCGTACATTCTTTCAGAAGATAATTTGATTCTTGAAGAGGAGTATTAAAGGGGGTGAGGAGCAATCAGGCACAACAACAACAACTTGCATTTATATAGTGCCCCTCAAGCAAGGTCACATCCCAGAGTGCTTGAAAGAAACTAGCTTAACTTTATTCTATAAAGAGATCTTTATAATGACTTATAATGTCAAACAGCATCACACTTCAGATAGTTGCTGTTCAGTGTAATGACTGTTTCATTCAAGGGGATTGAAACCTGCTCTTTCTAGTTTAAAGCCTTTTGGGTTTTCTTAATATTTAATGGGCATAAGATCTCCTCTAAGCTTTACTGCCTGTCCTGTCTGTGCAGATCATTGTTTGTAAAGTCTTCAATCTTTGAGGCTACGGCAGTGTGTGCACTATCAGTATATAAAGTGTACCACAATTATGTGTGCTTGACTGGACTGGTACAATGCAGAAATATAGCATTCAATGCAGCCTCTTGTTTGTGACACAATAACTGCCAGTGCATGAGGAACCGTACCAACACTTGCATTATCTGCTGTTTGGATGCTCTATTGCACATTTTAACAGGTTTCAATGTTTTTATTTCAGGAGTTCTATGAAAATACAAAGAACCTCTGGCAAGATGAAGGTGTGAAAGCATGCTACGAAAGATCAAATGAGTATCAGCTCATCGACTGTGCACAGTAGTGAGTAATTGTCTCCTTGCCAGTTTGTGTTGTAATCTGAAAGTGAATCCAAAATTGTTCCCAATTCTTAACAAATTTTGGGTTGATAGAAACATGATGTTGGTGATTACATTTTTACGCTATAGTTGATTTAAAAAAAATCTTACATGGCCTGGCTGGAGGGGTACAATGAGGTACCAAAGAGTTTGTTTCGTATTTCACACAGTCACCTCTCTGACAATGCGCAGATCAGACATTGTTGGTGCAAGGAGCACATGTGCAACATGCGAGAATTTTTCAAGAACTGGTCTGAGCCTTGTGTGCAGCTCACAGGAAGTTATGTCACGGTTGGCATTGCGGTTTTGTACCACTTATATTTTGAGATTTGGGTTTATGGACGTGAATCAGCGCATTATGAGGTTCTTCTGTATATTTGGATATTCATACCCATGACAGTTTGCAATTGTTTAATGCATTTTCCCCTGTGATGTTGTTAGCCACAATTAATGATCCATTCGTGTTGCGATGGAGAGGATCTGATTTTGGTGCTTACTATTTGTTAATTTACTTTAAAAATCTGTGGGATTAGCGGTCGGTTCACATGTAGAGATTGTTTCTCATCTCCTGCCATGAGCAAATATGTGGCACCTGTCAAATTTTGTTCACTTTATGTCTTCCCCAAGTAAATTCTCTTCTTGAATGAGCTTGTTAATATACTAAAGCTCAAGGCCTTGGTCCCTAAAGCTTCAGGATTATATTTTTGTGCCACTGCTCTTGGTTGTAGCGTTGATCGTATTCAAATAATGAGGAAAGGATGGACCATTTGCACGTAGCATTTAACAACAACAACAACTTGGATTTATACAGCATGCCACACACAGGGTAGTGTCCCGGAGCGCTTGACAGTGGCGGAGCACGACGGCACCACGCTTGGTGTTTATCTCTGCAGCCTCCTATCTGAAGATGCCATTCCAATTGGCATATCAATCGTCTGAGGTGCTTTGATGTACAGGAGAACTCGGTCTATTGTCCTGTAGAAAGTGCATCAGCTTCTCTTGTAGAATTGTTCTTTACACTGGGACTGATAGCTGGTGTTCATGCTGAGGGAGCAGAACTTGCATTTTTATAAGGCCTTGTATCAAAACATCTGAAAAGGTTTGACACTAGTTACTGTTGCATGCAGTGATTGTTTTTTGCAGGAACATGCAGGAGCTATTTTGCACACTACAAAGTGGACCTAAATCTCAATTTATCTGAAGAAGTAACTCCTATTTTGAATAGTTATGCAAACTTTAATATTCATCTGAAGAATGGGTATAGGCTACTTCCGTTTAATGTTGTCAAAAAGATAGAATCCAGCGTTCCCCCTGTATTGTACTGGACTGTTATTCATTGGGCATCTTTTTACACCATGAATTGAATGCCCTTGTCATGTGACCAGCTATAACTAGCTCAGATTATTGAATGATTTCTTCCTACATTCTGCCTGTCGCTTCTGTAACTACAATGAGATTGGTTACAGCCTCTACCCATTTCCTAATGGGTGTGAGCCCACAGTGCAAAAAACCCAAACATTACAATCTTGTTTCGGTTACAGCAATGGCAGGAAGTGAAAATAGGCCTCCGGGCCCGTTAGCTGGCTGTACACCACATTGGCTGCAGACCCCTTAGGTAAGCAACAAATGCTAGCACATTGCATCTCAAAATTCTTCACAGAACCTATAGTGTGCACTGAACACAGAAGACATAGCAATCTAATCTCTGTTTGCAGCAAGAGGGTTGAGCTAACATTTAGCTGCAGAATTTAATCATTTAAATCAGGGATTTTGGAGATGAAAGTTGGCGTACTTGATATGCTAGTTAACCCTAGCTTTCAATTTAATGAGCGCTGAACATCTGAAATCCAACAAAACATTGGCAAAGCAAAAGCATCCGATTTTTACTCTGACTCCTTGAATTTATATGGTGCCGAAATGTTTCAAACTGAAGTATCTACAGTAGAGGTATCAGTTTTTCTGCAAAGTCTATTTGTAGGTTGACATGTTGAACATCTGTGAAGTGAATGACCAATTTTAACTGGAGCATTGTTGGCCAGGGTACCAAAAGAAACTTTTTTTTAGTATCCAGGGATCTTTAATGTTCACCTGAACAGGCAGCTAGCTTCCAGCTTTCTCCAGTGTTCAACTACTTCAGCAGCAGCCTGGCTCTTGCCCAGTTTGGCCATTGAGATGTTTTTGCCAGTATTTAATTGTGAAAGTAGAGCCCCTGAATTGTGGTTAATGTGTGACAATTCACACAGTATTAATGACTTGATTTTTATTTTCTTCAGCATTAATATGAATAACCCACAATTTAATAAAAAAAACTTTCGCTCTCAGTCCCACCTTTCTGTATTTGTTGCGAGTCTTCTGACCCTGAGCTTCTGCGTAACTTCATTGTTGATGAAAACATCGACATTCTCGCCCTCATTGAAACCTGGGTCATTCCAGGGGACACCTGCCCATGACAGAGGCCACACCACCCAGCCTTACCTTCCATCGTATCCCACGACTTAAGCGCCGCGGCGGTGGTGTGACTCATATCCTGGTCCCAGCTCGGCCTATCCCCTTACTCCTCTGGAACCTTCCCCTCCTTTGAGCACCTTACCCTTCATCACCCTTCCAACCTTTCCCTCAAAATTCCTGTTATTTATTGTCTCCCCCACCTTCCTTCCCAGCATCTCCACCCTCCTATCTTCCCTCTCCCTCTGCTCCGAATGCCTCCTTATCCTAGGCAACTTCAATGTTCACTTCACACCCTCCTGTTCTACCTCTGCTGACTTCCCTCCCTCAACCTCTCCCTCCAAATCCACTCTGTCACCCATGCCGCTGTCACCCTCTCGATCTGGTGATCACTCTGGGTCTCACCATCTCAGACCTCACCATCACTGACAAAGCCATCTCGGATCATCACTTTATCTCCCTTAACTCCTCAATCCCACTACCACCCAACCCACCTCCGTCTCCTAACCCCCTAGAAAAAACTCTCGCCCCCTCTATGCTGCTTTGGAGTTATCTGAACTCCTTCCCCTCCTGGCTTCCTCCTGCAATGACTGTTGCTCCTCAGTCACTCACCTCCACAACTCTCTCGATGCCCTTGCTGCCCTCACTTCTCAACTGTCTCCTACTCACGAAAGTCACTGTGGTACACCAGCCACCTCTACTCCCTTAAGGCACAGATGTGTACCGCTGAATGCACCTGGCTTAAATCCAAATTAACAGTCCATGGCAGATATGGTTGAACCTTACCAAATCTTACCGCGCTGCCCTCGCCTCCGCTAAATAATCGTTCTACTCCAAGACAACCTTGGAGGCCAAGGACGACCCTAGGCTTCTCTTCTCCCTCACCAACTGGCTCCTCCTTCCATCCTCTCACCTCCAGTGCAAACTGCGAGGCGACGCAGGACTTCCTCGAATCCAAAGTCGGGGGGATCTGCTCAGCTGCCTCTGCCCTTCCGTCTACTACCCCCTCCCCCTCACACCCCGGTCCCTACTGTCTCTCCCTCCACACCTTCGAACCTGTCTCCCACTATCTCACCACCACTATAACGGGCATGAAATCGACCACCTGCTCCCTTGACTCCATCCCAACCCATCTCCTTACTCTGGCCTGCTTCATGACCCCCCACACCCCTGTTGGTGGGCGGGTCTTCAGCCACTCCATCCCGCAGTACCTCTGCCTCGCCCCCTCCCTTGCTTCCTTTAAGACCCATCTCACGACCCTTGTCCTCATCCGTGCTTTTGATCACCCTCCACCCTTCCCAATCCCGACCCCAGCTCGGGTTCGAAAAACTTGACTGACCAGCGCCTTGGGATGTCCTCTGAACGTGAAAGGCACTCTACAGATGTCATTTTGTTGTGGGTAATGTCTAAAATTCACTGTTTACCAAACCCTCAGCGATTTGTCAATTTAGAGCTTCACTGCTTGAGACTCACTTGGGATGCGCAGATGTGATGGCTTATTGAACAAAATGACCTGGTGTGCCTTTGTTACAGTGCTCTGTGATGCTATCTTGTGTGAAAGATGTCATATAAATGCATGTTGCTGCCCGTTGCTTACTAAAGCCAAAGTGTGATGAGGCACACCCTCATTCTTTCCATCTTTGATGAACTTATTCTTCAATTAAAGATTCTGGATCTTTGAATATGAACAGGGGAGCTATTGCTGTGTTCAGTAACATGGTTAATTATGATTTGATATTGCATGAAATAGGTAGCAGTTCAAATCACCAGACTACTGTGAGTGCTGTATGATAGTGGAACAGGCAGTGAAATTAAATCTCTGCAACAGGTTGTCTCATGTGAAAGCCTGTCCCACTCCTGTGAATTATTTTTAATTGCACATACCTTGTAGGAAAAGATTTTGGAGCATTAAGAGATTTTTTTATCGAAGCAGGGAGATATTCTGTGCCAGCAAAACACGAGGAGTATATTATCTGCCACAAAAAGTGTTAATGTTTGAACTACTGCAATTCACACTGCTGCTGCACAGAAGTGAACTAGTTCCAATTCAAGGCCAATTTGGCATGTTAGCAAGGATTGGTGACTGCTTGCTTGTACTGTTAGTACCAGGTATTTTTCCCTTTCATCTGTGTGTTGGGTGAGAAGAACTTCATAGGAAATCCAGTGCAGAGTTCTGAGATATCCTCCTGATGTGTAAGGCATTATATCAAATGCAAGGTTTATTTGTTATTTTGCAACCACCACTACCCTAACGGCTTCACATCTGGATAAAACATGCTCGATGCCTTCCCTTGGATATTTCTAATGTCCTCGCGCAGATTTTGGGCTGAACTACATACTCTTCACCCCTCTCGCACATGAGGTCCCAGCAGAACCGTATTGCGGATGCCATTTGGTGAAGATCACTTTCGAGAGTCGGTCAAGGAATCGTAAGACATTTGTGGCCAACCTTTATGGTCGGCCAAAAAGTAAATGTTCTCGATTAAATATTTCTTGATTGATGCCATAAACCAAGAAATG